CTTTATTTCCAGGAGAACCATTGGAACCTGCTTCACCATTATCGTTACCAGGTTCAGCAATACGGTGAGAGGGATTAGCAACTGCATCACCACGGCCTTGTTTACCAGTTTCACCTACACGACCATCAACAGGTATTTGCGTTTCAGCTGTAGCTGGTCCCTTTGCTGTAGATTCAGTACATTGAGGTAGAGCACCCGCAGAAGCAGAAGAATTAGGAGAACAAGACTCATTAGGACTCTCAGGAGGACAACCAGCATTACTACCACCATCAGCATCACTAGGACAAGTAGCAGGAGAACCAGAAGGAAGATCACCCGAAGATGGGAGTGGATTAGGATGAGCAGCAAGACCAGGTGCCTCTTCTTTAGTCTCCTCGTTCGCTACACACACACAGGTAATGCTAAGAAGCAAAACCAGAAAACAAAACACGCGTCGCAGCATCATGGCAAGACTTACCTTTTCTTTTTAGGCAGCTGAACTGGTTAAGGAAATACATAACAAGGGAGAAAAAAGTCATCGTAGACAAATAGTTAAACAATGAAATACAGCGTAAAAAAACAAAATATGAGTTACCACGCCCACATACACAAAACAAAATAACGATCATTACGAAGAATAAAGATTCCATTAAATCGACACCACTCAAAGAACCACAAGCAAACTGGAAAAAAAAGAAATTAAATGGAAAAACATCGGCCCACACAAAACAACAAAATCAAAAGAGAAATTCGGTTATGTTTGAATTCTTATGCAATAATGAGTACAAGTGTATCTGTTATTCTTTTTTGTTTCTGCAGAAAGCATATCACCATAAAAGTACAGAGCAAAAAACACATACAACAATAAACAACACAAAAGCAAAAAAAAAAAAACAGATATTAACCATTAGCCCAATTTACCCAGTAAACACAGAAATATACACCAACTATGGGTGTAAGTCTATATGTGTGTATATACGCAATTATAAATATAAATATTCATCTGTTATTATTATTTCTTTTCTTTTCACTGCAAAAAGCAGTTCATCATCATTATCATTACAGTGCAAGCCCAGAGGCACACACAGAGAGAGAGTCTCCAAGAAAACACACATACACACAATGGAGTAGCAATAATAATTATTATAGGATAAAAGCACAGAGAGAGCAAAAACAACAAACAAAACACAATAACATTAAGAAACAAAAAAAAGAAAAGAAATCCCAACAGGTGGAAGATTAGTTAGACTGTAGGGATGCATGCAAGAAAAGAAAAAGAAAACAAAGGATGACCTGAGTCACACCACACCACCACCGTTACAATCAGCACACAAGAATACAGGCCAGTGTAACCACAATCAGTAGTGGTACACGCACCCACACAGAACTGCTGATACTGCTGCTGCTGCTGTCTGCATCACCCTTCTTGTTGTTTATGGGTTCAGGAGGAAGTGTTGTGGTTGTGGTGGTGGTGGTGGTGGTGGTTGATTCCTCATTAGTATTGGGTGTAGTATCATTCTCAGGTTTAGATTCTGTGTCTGTACTTCCTTGAGACTGTACAGCACTACTGTTGCCTGCATCGTTAGTACCTTGCGTATCATTCTCGTTGGGGGAACTTGGAGTATTTTCAGACTTCTGTTCTTCACTATTAGCATTGGGTTCTTCTGCAGTGAGAGAGCCAACAGTATTCTGTTCACTGCCAGAATTGGATCCACCATTATTTCCTGATTCCGTTCTCGC